ATGTGTTGATTGTTTTGCAGGTGCATTTTCGTCAAGATTAAAGATGGCGGAAATTTGCATCGACACTTATGTTTCTAATTCCTTTGTTTTTCTTGGCAGATCTAACCTGCTATATTTAGCCATGTCTAGGAATTATGAGTAGCTCGTTTACATACTCGATGCTCCTTTTATTTCTATATACAGCTGGATTTTGGGTATCAGTTGTTGCAAAATTATGTTTAGATTGCTTGGTTTACAAATTGCTGCAATTGCATGCTATGGTGCTAGTTTTATTTAGTTTTTATATATTAATACTTTCTACTTCTACTTGTGCAGATGGCTCGATTGAATGAAGGGTTATCCTTTTTCGATGCAATTCTTATTTTTCCTATGTTTCAAATTGCTTGGACATTCTTTTCCATTTGTACAGGATTTGTATAGTTTTAAGAATTCCAGGATTTGTATATATTCACATTCAGCCTCTAAATGTACATTCAAAATTTATTAATCAATAAGTATTATTTCTTAACAATTTTGTGTATTATATTTTGATATACATATATAGTAGCTGAGCATTAAAGCATTTATTTTTTATTTTTTTTATAAATTAAATGTCTTTCCCGACAAAACAAATTTTGTCGGGAGAGAGAATATTGTGCAGACGAAATATTCACGGCGATAAACACATTTTGTTGGCTGAATAATACTATTTCTCGGCTTAAAAGCCCTGTACCAACGAAAATATTTGTCGAGAACAATGAAAATGCCGATAAAAAAGAGTTTGTCAGGTAAAGTTGAACCTTAGCCGACGAAGTATCAAAATCTGTCGGGAAAACTCTTACGCGACATGCTTTGCTCGACAAAACGGCAGACAATTTTTTTCATTAGGAAAGGATCTTTACCGATGATAGGAGCATATTTATGCGACTTAATTGGCTTGTTCTCATGCATTTACGTTGTGTTTCTTTAGTTATTTTAGTCCTTTATGCCATTTTCATGTGTTTCTAGGTTCATATGGCTAAGGAAGCAAAAAGGTGCATTTTGGAGCAAAATTGGGCTTGGAATGGATAGCATATGCTTGGAGCAAAAGGATTGGACGAAATTGAAGGCCTTGTATGCACTTTAGGACATACAACAAAGGGCCTAGCCCATTCTCTTCCCAAAAATCCATCCAAGTTGTGCATAACCTACCAATTCCAGCAACTTCCCCTTGGAGCCGTGCACCCCCCCTTGCATTTCCAGCCTTCCCACTTCATCATTGCAGCACATTCTCTTCCATATTCCCTCTTTAATCCACATGCATCTTTAATCATTCACTCACATGCTTTCCCAACAAATAATTCGGCTACATGCACCCAAACAATCCTTTGCCGTGCACTCCCATCCCATTCCTAGCTGTTTTTCCATTCATTCCCTTCATAAAACAGCCAGCCATACTTCCACATGCATTCCCTCTTTAATCATTCCCTCCTAGCTGTCATTCACATGCTCTCCCATCCATTCTCTCCCTATAAAAACCATACACACTTCACACAAAAGGAAGGAAGCCTTGCCATGCAAAACAACACCCATTTCAGCACCATTTAAGCCTTAGCCGTGCACTTCCCCTTCCATTTCTGCACCATATCTCCTCCATTGCAGCCACTCCAACCACTCCCCATCCCTCCAAAACCTATCCTTGGACCTTGTGCCATAACAAAGAGGAGGAGAAGAAGGCCTAAACGTTCATACAATTCAAGTTTGAGTTGTTGGAATTTTTAGGTGTTTTCTCTCCTTGATATTCAATGATTAAATTTACTTATCTTTGTCTTGTACGTATGAGGAACTAAACCCCCCTTGGCTAGGGGGGATTCGAAATACATGTTTATGCTTGCGATATGATTTGATTACTTCTAATTGCGTTTCATAAGTTGTGAATTCAATTTACTGATCTATGTGAGTTACATTGATTTGTGTATGTTGGTTGAGAGTGCACGCTTAATTATCATGCATAAATTGGATGCTAGGATATAAGGAAATTGCACCTAATCGTTATGGAATTATATTCACAAGTAGTAAAGGTTGATGATCTCAATCGCGTTAAGTAAATTCTTGGCATAAGTTTCATGCAATCATAGTAACAAGTGCTTCGTGAATGCTTATGGTTTCCATAGAACTTAATGATTCTTGCTTGTATCTCTATTATGCAATCATGTAGGAGACTTGTGGGAAATGTTTTGGGTTGTCGTATGCAATCATCCAATTCAATAACGTTAGGAAAATCTGAGGGTTAATTAGTGCAATTCACGGTTAATCTGGGGCGTTGAGAATTCATGGTTTATTGAAAAGCAATTAGAAATTGGTTTGTGTGCAAGTATAACATGTGTGGAGATGAACCCCTTAGCTAGCTTCCCATCCATTAAATTCCATCAAATTCGTTTTTAAAATCTGTTCGTTTTACAAAGTATTAAGTTTTGTTTCCAAATTCGTCAAAATCAAAATCCCCCTTTACTTGGAGTGTCAAATTAGTTAGAAATCAATTTAGTTTGTGTTTTTAGAGTATCTTGAGTCAAGTTATAACTATTTTCGTCCAAATTCTTCTATAGTGCTTAAAACTGCTCAGAAAGTAGTTTTAAGGCAGTTTTGAATGTTTTCTTGCTGTTTTGAGTCTTTTGGTTTGTCTTAGTGTTTTAAACTTTAATTTTGCATTCTTTGGGTCTAGTTTGGTGTCTTATATTGTGTTTTTACGGTTTTGAGTCAAATCCAAGCGATTAACAATCCCTCCTAATCCCCGGTCTAGAACGATCCCTACTTACATACTTCACTACAACTGATAAAAAGATGGTTAATTTGTGTGCTTATAATTCTCACATCAACTTACAACTAAATTTTGTCAGCAAAGTCAAAATTTCTAGTAGGTATACTCCGATATCGCACACACCCAAAATCACCAATATTAGGTAATGAGATGAAATTCTTCGGTGGTTAGAAACGAAAAATCACAATTAGCGGTTATTTTATCTCAAATTTGATTTTATAAAACGATTCTTCGACTTTAGAAGAATACAGTGAACAAATCCGATCATCAATTTAAAATATTTACACTAGTGTCTCGATTTAATAATGTAATGTCATATAATTCTTTATTACAAATGAAGACCATGATGTCGCCGACACGGTAACGGTGTTCCATGTAAGTCCTTGAAAGGAGAATAACTAACAGTGAATTAATCAAGGTCTTGTTTAAACTCAAGTTATTATATATACTTCCAAGGTTTAAGAAAATAACATGACTAAATTACCACAGTATATCGATTTGGTGCACACTTCCAAGCTTTGACATGTTTTATTATAAGCTGGCTGAGGCCACATATTACTAAATGATGACATGATTGACAACTACTAACTGTGATCTAGGAATATGATATGATGATCATTTATGCAGGATATTGGAATCCAGAGGAAGGAGTCTTCCCATAATTAATGAGCCCCTGAAGAACAATGGGGATGATGGGGTTAACATTGAGAAGCTTAGCCTTGATATGGTGGTGGTGGTGGGGGTGGTACTACCTCTGGTGGAGATGGTGTTGGTGGAGAAGGCTTCATTGGAGATGGTGGTGGGGGTGGTACTACCTCTGGTGGAGATGGTGGTGGTGGAGAAGGCTTCATTGGGACAACTGGGGTTGGAGATGGTGGTGGGGGTGGGGGTGGTACTACCTTTGGAGGACATGGTAGTGGTGGTAAGAGTGGTACTGCCTTCGGTGGAGATGGTGGTGGTGAATGAGGCTTCATTAGGACAACTGGGGTTGGAGATGGTGGTGGCAGTGGGGATGCTACTACCTTTGGTGGACATGGTGGTGGTGGTAGGGGTGGTACTACCTTCGGTGGAGATGGTAGTGGTAGGGGTGGTATTACCTTTAGTGGAGATGATGGTGGTGGTGGAGGAGGCTTCAATGGGATTACTGGGGTTGGAGATGATGGTGAGGATAGGGGTGGGGGTGGTACAACCTTTGTTAGAGATGGTGGTGGTGGTGGAGGAGGTTTCACTGGGATAATTGGGTTGGAGATGATGGTGGTGGTGGTAGGCGTGGTACTACCTTTGGTGGAGATGGTGGTGGGGGTGGTACTACTTTTGGTGGAGATAGAACTAGGGTTGAAGATGGTGATAGTGGTGAGGGTGGTACTACCTTTGGTGGTGGAGGAAGCTTCACTGGGACAACTGGTGTTGGTGTTGATGGTGGGCTTGGCAATACAACATGTGGTGTAGGTGGTGGTTTTACAGGTAGGGGCTTAGGGGTAGATTGTAGAGGCAGTACAACTGGGGGTTTGGGATGAGGATGTGGTTTGGTAACAAGAGGTTTTGGATAGGGAGGTGGCTTTATAATGGGCGGTTTAACATAAGGTTGTTTTGTGGGTACATGAGGAGGAGGCTGTGCATGAGGTGGCTTTGAGGGCGGTTTGGGAACATGGGATGAAGCTTTGGATGAGGGTCACATGTGGATGTGGTTTGACATGCGATGGTGGCTTCTTTGGAGGTTTAGGGTAGGAGGGTGGCGTTACGTGGGGATGGTGTTTGGGTGGCAAGTAGGGAACTGGAGGGTGTGTTGGTGGTGGGTAATAGGAGTTAGCAAGGGAAGTGAGCAAACTACCCAAGTTGAGAATGAGGACTAAGAGTAAAGCCAGAGCATAATTGATCTCCATGTCAATACTATAGCTCCACAACTCTCAAGAGAGTTTGGAACTGGATATTGAATCCCAATACCAAGCCAATGGCTTTATAAAGGGTTTGTGGGTAGTGAGACAGACGTAAGTGTTAATCTACATGCTAGACAATGAGAGAGAGAGAGATAGACTGTTGCCCCTTTCTTTGGGGCAAGGATCCTTTCTAGATCTTGTCTGTGTAGAGCCTCGGGATTAATTGATCATGTCTGTTAATCGCAAATCAAATGGTTGCAATTCCACAACCTCTTGTTCACTGCCTTTTATCTTTTCTTTTTTCACTATCTTTTCTTCTCTAGAATAGAATGAGTTCGCGACAGAAGATGCATGTTGTCGTAAACAAGATTGGCGCATGGAACGAGTTCGTGGCAGAAGAGAGGTTACGATCTGCCTTTGTCAGCGACATCACACTTCGATGCATGATGAGCACGTAAGTCAGAGACTATGTTTGGTTAGGCAGAATCATAGGAAGGGCGAATATATAAAATTATTGTTCCCTTTCTTTGTGGTACCAACTGTATATATAAAATTATTAATTTATGTGTATAATTAATTCGTCAAGTTGTTATAATTCATTAACTTGAGGGTCATTCCAAAACCAAGTTGATGAGGATCACATATAAGATGGAGGAATGAAGTGGCTTCCTTTACATTAAGGAATGAAGTGGCTTCCTATGGTCGACTTATCCTGATAAATACCCTATATTCTACCAAATTTCAGAGCTTTTGCTACCCCTAAAAAAGCCCTAAACACTTTACTCTCTCAGAGAAACTGATTTAGGCATCAGATATCCATTGGGCTAATCCCCCCCCCCACCCACCTCGCGGGCGCGTGAGGCTTAGGCCTTTGATCAAAGGTGTTGATTGTTTTGCAGGTGCATTTTTGTCAAGTCTAAAGATGGCAGAAATTTACATCGACACTTATGTTTCTAATTCCTTTGTTTTTCTTGGCAGATCTAACCTACTATATTTGGCCATGTCTAGCAATTATGAGTAGCTCGTTTACATACTCGATGCTCCCTTTATTTCTATATACAACTGGATTTTGGGTATCAGTTTTCGCAAAATTAAGTTTAGATTGCTTGGTTTACAAATTGCTGCAATTGCATGCTTTGGTGCTAGTTTTATTTAGTTTTTATATATTAATACTTTCTACTTCTACTTGTGTAGATGGCTTGATTGAATGAAGGGTTATCCTTTTTCGATGCAATTCTTATTTTTCCTATGTTTCAGATTGCGTGGACATTCTTTTCCATTTGTACAGGATTTGTATATATTCACATTCAGCCTTTAGATGTACATTCGGAATTTATCAATCAATAAAGTATTATTTCTTAACATTTTTATGTATTATATTTTGATATACATATATAGTAGCAAAGCATTTATTTTTATAAATTAAATGTCTTTCCTGACAAAACAAATTTTGTCGGGAGAGAGAAGATTGTGCCGACGAAATATTCACAGCAGCAAACACATTTTATTGGCTGAATAATACTATTTGTCAGCTTAAAAGCCCTGTACCGACGAAAATATTTGTCGAGAACAATGAAAATGCCGACAAAAAAAAGTTTGTCAGGAAAAGTTGAACCTTAGCTGACAAAGTATCAAAATCCGTAGGGAAAACTCTTACGCGACATGCTTTGCTCGACAAAATGGCAGACAAATTTTTTCGTTAGGAAAGGATCTTTACCGACAAATAAATTTTGTCAGCAAAGTCAAAATTTCTAGTAGTTATACTCCAATATCGCACAGACCAAAAATCACCAATATTAGGTAATGGGATGAAATTCTTCGATGGTTAGAAACGAAAAATCACAATTAGCGGTTATTTTATCTCAGATTTGATTTTATAAAACGATTCTTCGACTTTAGAAGAATACAGTGAACAAATCTGATCATCAATTTAAAATATTTACACTAGTGTCTCGATTCAATGATGTAATGTCATATAATTCTTTATTACAAATGAAGACCATGATGTCACCGACACGGTAACGGTGTTCCATGTAAGTCCTCGAAAGGAGAATAACTAACAGTGAATTAATCAAGGTCTCATTTAAACTCAAGTTATTATATATACTTCCAAGGTTTAAGAAAATAACATGACTAAATTACCACAGTATATCGATTTGGTACACATTTCCAAGTTTTGACATGCTTTATTATAAGTTGGCTGAGGCCACATATTACTAAATGATAACATGATTAACAACTACTAACTGTGATTTAGGAATATGATATGATGATCATTTATGCAGGACATTAGAATCCAGAGGGAGAAGTCTTCCCACAATCAATGAGCCCCTGAAGAGCAATAGGGATGATGGGGTTAACATTGAGAAGCTTAGCCTTGATATAGTGGTGGTGGTGGGGGTGGTACTACCTTTGGTGGAGATAGTGGTGGTGAAGAAGGCTTCATTGGGACAACTGGGGTTGGAGATGGTGATGGTGATGGTGAGGGTGGTACTACCTTTGGTGATAGAGTTGGAGGGCGTGGTGTTTCAGTAGGTGGAGGAGGCTTCACTGGGACAACTGGGGTTGGAGATAGTGATGGTGGTGAGGATGGTACTACCTTTAGTGGTGGAGGAGGCTTCACTGGGATAACTGGGGTTGGAGATGGTAATGGTGGTGAGGGTGGTACTACCTTTGGTGATGGAGGAGGAGGCTTCACTGGGACAACTGGGGTTGGATATGGTGATGGTGGTGAGGGTGGTACTACCTTTAGTGGTGGAGGAGGCTTCACTGGGACAACTGGGGTTGGATATGGTAATGGTGGTGAGGGTGGTACTACATTTGGTGATGGAGGAGGAGGCTTCACTGGGACAACTGGGGTTGGAGATGGTGATGGTGGTGAGGGTGGTACTACCTTTAGTGGTGGAGGAGGCTTCACTGGGACAACTGGGGTTGGAGATGGTAATGGTGGTGAGGGTGGTACTACATTTGGTGATGGAGGAGGCTTCACTGGGACAACTGGGGTTGGAGATAGTGATGGTGGTGAGGGTGGTACTACCTTTAGTGGTGGAGGAGGTTTCACTGGGACAACTGGGGTTGGAGATGGTAATGGTGGTGAGGGTGGTACTATCTTTGGTGATGGAGGAGGCTTCACTGGGACAACAGGTGTTGGTGTTGATGGTGGGCTTGGCAATACAACAGGTGGTGTAGGTGGTGGTTTTACAGTTGGGGGCTTAGGGGTAGATGGTGGTGGCAGTACAATTGGGGGTTTGGGATAGGGAGGTGGTTTGGTAACATGAGGTTTTGGATAGGGAGGTGTCTTTATAATGGGTGGTTTAGCATAAGGTGGTTTTGTGGGTACATAAGGAGGAGGCTGTGCATGAGGTGGCTTTGAGGGCGGTTTGGGAACATGGGGATAAAGCTTTGGTGAAGGTGGTTTCACATGTGGAGGTGGTTTAACATGTGACGGTGGCTTTTTTGGAGGTTTAGGGTAGAAGGGTGGTGTTATGTGGGGAGGGTGTTTAGGTAGGCAAGTAGGGAACTGGAGGGTGTGTTGGTGGTGGGTAATAGGAGTTAGCAAGAGAAGTGAGCAAACTACCCAAGTTGAGAATGAGGACTAAAAGCAAAGCCAGAGCATAATTGATCTCCATGTTAATACTATAACTCCACAACTCTTAAGAGAGTTTGGAACTGGATATTGAATCCTAATACCAAGCCAATGGCTTTATAGAGGCTTTGTGGGTAATGAGACATACCTAAGTATTAATCTACGTGCTAGACAATGAAAAGAGAGAGAGACTGTTACCCCTTTCTTTGGGGCAAGGATCCTTTTTAGATCTTGGCTGTGTAGAGCCTTGGGATCAATTGATCATGTCCGTTCATCACAAATCAAATGGTTGCAATTCCACAACCTCTTGTTCACTGCCTTTTATCTTTTCTTTTTTCACTATCTTCTCTTCTATAGAATAGAATGAGTTCGTGACAGAAGAGAGGTTACGATCTGCCTTCGTCAGCGACATCGCGCTTCAATGCATGATGAGTACGTAGGTCAAAGACTATGTTTGGTTGGGCAGAATCGTAGGAAGGGTGAAGGCAAAGGATAAGACATGGCATCCATGGATTTGGAGGTCTTTTGGTCACGTTGACACTCTCCAATAACGTGATTTGTTTTTACATCGTTAGATATGTGGTGAACGGCCACAATCAGTTGATTTAGAGGCTTCGGACAAATAGAATCCGAACAGAATCTTGTTCCCTTTCTTTGTGGTACCAACTGTATATATAAAATTATTAATTTATGTGTATAATTAATTCGTCAAGTTTTCATGATTCATTGACTTGAGGGTCATTCCAAAACCAAGTTGATAAGGATCACATACAAGATGGAGGAATGAAGTGGCATCCTTTACATTGAGGGCACGTTTACGTAAGGGTAATTGGTATCAAGAAACAGAATTGAATTTCGATTACGGATACTCTGGTGTTTACCAAATCTGTGGGAATGAAAATTTAACGGGTCCTACATAAATTTTGGAATCCAATTCCAAAATTTGGAGGAATTAGACTCCTAACAATTGGATGGTATTTGGATTTCGGAGGATTGAGGGGGTGAGGAATCCATTTTTCTTACCCATTGTGCCCTCTCATAAAAGTTGAAATTCCAAAGAAACCCAAGCTCTCGTCCCCAGTGATCTCTCTCATTCTCCCTTGCCACTGTCGCACATGCCTTGCCTTTCCCAGGACATAGACCAGACCACCATCATCTTCCACAACAATTAAACCACAAAAGTAAATCAAATCACAAACCAAGAAGAACCTTGTTGCACTTTTGGTAGGTATTTTATGAACAAAATGTCAAAAACCAAGCCCCCACACCAAACCAACAAGAAATCACAGCCGTGTAAACTAATCCTTCGACATCACCACCATTACCACTGCCCATTGGCCACAAACCCACCTTCAATTTCAAACTATTGAAAGATGAGAGACGCGGAGAAGGAGAGGAACAATTAGGTTGGGGTTTGATAATTGGTTAGTTTGCTTTTTAATTTTATTTTATATCATTTCACTTTCTATTAATCAGCATATAAAAATAATTTAGTATAATAAGAGTATTTTAGTAATCACATTAGTTTCTATTCCGATTGATGTGAACTAGTAAACAGTTTATATAGGTCAATGATATTCTTACTCCAATTCTAGAAAGTTTTGGTAAACAGCTTTAATAAGAATTTGATTCTGTTTTTTTTTTTTTGGGGGAATAAGAATCTTATTCTGACTCCACCCATTGTAATTCCTCCTCAATTCAATTCCCCTTATTTTGATTACGGATTAATAAACAAGCTATAGATTTGAAGATCCAAATAGGGTACTGTAGATTTGAAATCATTATCTTAAGCCATGTTTGGAAGAGAAATTTGTAAGTACCAATAAATCTATGTTAAATTAGTTAGAAATGCACTGTAAAAGATTCGATGAATACATTTGAAATGATAGATACATGAATTGATAGGGATTTGCAAAATGATTACTTGAACTTGAATTAGTCAATACTAAATCCATTTGTTCGTATTTCTGTGCTTAAATTCATCTAAAAATTTTCAATCTAATATTTTTGTAAACTTGCAAATTTCTATTCCAATCATATATGAGGTTATGGGCAAAGGTCAGAAATCAAGAAAACTCGGAAGGATTTTGATATAGGCGAAGTTTGAACATGAAGTTTGCTATTCGACCCGTGAATTGGGTTCATGATGCCAAAACCACCACATGTGATGCTTTCACAAACAAAATTTTCTTGTATAAAAAAAAGAAACTATGGGGACAAAAATGGGCCCTAGACCTTTTCAACTTAAAAAGGATATGGTTTTTTGGGTGTGGGGGTGTTCATTTCCTTCCTTGGATAGGACTAGTCAACTAGTGTTACCTCTTTCTTAGTTTAAGTTTGGCCATTCCTATCCTATGAATATACAGATGCAATCGCATTCGCGCGCACTTGGGTGTCGGTCATACACCTCACTATATATATTTGAAATTAAATTCTATTTTTTGAAATTTGGATGTAGGAACTTTCTTTTAGAGTAAATTACATTTCACCACCTCATTTTCAGCCACATAACAAACTTATATCTCATCTTCTGATCATTTCAATGTTTATATCAATTAACTTACGACTTCGTTAAATGTCAGACTGAGTGTTAGTGTGGATAAACGGCTCACTTGATAGATTTTTTAATGGAAGTTTGATATGACAATGAATTCATAATTTAATGTATGACATTACAATGTTTAAAATATGATGTATGAGTTTGTTATGTGACATAAAATTGAGGTAGTAAAATGTAATTTATTCTGTCTTTTTATTTACATAAGTGCCAACCCTAGCTACATGAAATCGCATTTCAGAAGGTATAGGTGGTCTAAGCAGGGTAAGACAACGTTGGTCTATGCATTGCGCGTGTATATATAACCCTCATGTACATATATAATGGAAAAGGATCCTCGCTGGATCCTTTTCCTAAGAATTATAGGGATCCCGTGATCATGACCATTCATCGTAAATTGTGTGGTCAGAAATCATTACAAAGTTTAAAATTTAAACCTAACAAAAACTGATCGCATGATGTATGATGAACGGTCATAATCACGGGATCTTTAGGATCCCTAGAAAAAGGATCCGGCGATTATGCTTTTCCATATATAATAGGTTGAATTTATTTTTTCGAGTTAAGGATAAGAGTAATGCTTCACCTGCGGCCACAAAAAGATCATCGAACGACCTCTGTAAAGTCATTAGGGTTTGTATTATTTTGTAATGTGAAAAGTCAAGTTCGCCAAAGAATTGACTAGGGATAGTTCTTTTTTTTTTTTTTTATTTTATTTTATTTTTTTTTATCTTTATCAATTCATTTGTTCCAACGATTGAAAATTGAGATAGTGTATGAGAAGTAAATATAGGTGTTTGAATAACACTACCTTGAATTGTATAAATATGGAGGAAATAATGAGCATGCATGTATTGTCATCGTCTTCCTATTGCAAACAAGTCTGTGTACTGGCGTTTAATGGTGAAAGTCCAACCTCTCGGTCACGCCATTTGAAGTATATCTAAAAATTGAAATGTAGCTGGCCTAGTTTAGGTGCAAGGTATCTTTGTTGACAAAAACATTGATCTAGCTAGATATTCTATCTCGACTCTTGAGAGGACAAAAAAAAGGAGTAATAATGCTATTAGTTTTTATATTTAACTATTAGTTTTTATATTTTGTTTGAGATATGGGCAAAATGTGTTGAGGAGATTAGGGATGAAGAAAGGTCGAGGGAGTGACGGGACGAAACAAAGAAGAAGGAATGAAAGCAAAATCTCGAAAGTGAAAACAATTCAAAATATATAATTTTAAATTTTAGTTTTTAGATTTTGTTTTGTACACCTTTCTTTATACACTTTCCCTACATCCCTCCCAACATCAATGTGTGTGGTGGGGTGGTGCCACAGTAAATCTATATAGACATGCTCTCTAAGAGGTATCAGACATGAGTGTTCACAGTTGGAGCAATCTTCCTCAGTTGTCCACGAGGCATTCGCAGAAACAAATGATGTTCAATACGTGTTGCCGGAGAAATGACTCGATGTGAACTAGATGTGCTTGTGCAATGTCAATGCTAATGCTGCTAGCACAAACATAACCTTCTCACTGGGCAAACACAAAACAAGGAGATGAAACCATGTCTAGAAAACTAGGATACCCATGATGTTCAATCCTTTGTTTGGGACATTCTGCCTCGAAAACAAGGGCAAGATGTCTGGATAAACAAATTAAACCTCCCCACCATCTTAACCAGATAACAAGTTCGTTTATCACGCACAAATCAAACTAAGAAAATCCTTGCGTTCGAGTTTTTTTGGATCTGTATTCAAACACTTTCCTTATCTGTCAATTTCTATTTTAAGGGTATATTAGTATTTTTATATCAATTTTTTGTTATAATTATCATAAACTTAAAATTGTGGCTATAATTCTACACGGGTTTATTGATCAAACACATCATTTTGGTCCCTCACTTTCAAAATCAATCAATGTCGTCCCTGACATTACATACCGCACATCAATTTGGTCATTCCATTAAGATTCCATCAACTATTTTGTTAGTTTGTATGTGAGACCCACAAATCCAATGAAATGGTGACACGTGGATTCATAAAATAAGGGTTTTATCGTAAATAGTCTCTGACATTGATCCAACTTCTTATTTCGGTCCCTAAGTTTCAAAAATCGAA